AAAAAAAACTAAAAAAGAAGTATAACGCATGTGCAAAGCTACTGTACTACTCATTAAATCTTTTATTAATGGAGCTCCTCGTTGTCTCGTCACACTGATAGTTTACTCAGAATGCCTATAGTGGAAGGAAATTAGTCGCAAGCCACAAAACAACAAAAGGAACAGCAACGCAGCTGTGAGAGGATTTGCAGAGGTATTGACAAGCCTGACAACCGGGGTCGCTTACCTCGGGTGCCGCAGGCACTGCTGACATTTCCTCGGTTGCAAACTCGACTTCTTGTGCTGGTTCCAGATCCTGAAAGACAAATTAAGAGTATTCAAAACAATCTGATAAACCTTATGTGTCAGAAGACTTTTGAAAATTGGCTTCTGCTCGACTGAAATTGTAACTGAAGACACATTTCGTCTGCAAAATGGTTGAGCTCAAGTAAAATCTAACTCTTCCAATAGATATAGACCCCCGCGAGAATATTAAAATAAAACGGAAATCTCACCCTAAATAAAAGCAAAACGCCAAACATAACGTCACGAAATAAGACATCATATGTAGTATAATTACAGTTGAACGTGTAATGATCACACGCTTACCTTGAAGGCCGTAGGAGCTGACACGGTTGCCAGTGTCTTTTCCTCTGGTAGAAAACCGAACATTTCATCAACCTTTGAATAAACAAACACTTCTTACTAAAACAAACAACACAAATCAAAACCGACTATAATCACAAACTAAAGCCTTCTATTCTTATGGTTAGTCACGTCACTACAATGCTCAGAACATAGCGTGCTCACAAGAAATCAACAATAATTTGACTTCACACTGAAGCAAGGATAGAAGTCACGCGAACAAATGGTCATGAATGTGGACAGAGATATATTACGACATGTACTAAGAAGAGAACCAAGTATGGAAATTCAGCCAAGTGAACGTCTCAAAACGTTTACCCTGAAAAACACGTGTGAGAATTCCTACCTCTCCTTGGAAATTTAAAATTTCATTTAATAACAAAAGTTCGTCTTCACTGTCACTGTTAAGATTCTCATCAGCTGTGTTATCCAGTATTCCGTCAACGCCATCAATATTGTCTGGATCAGACACGAAATCTTCAAATTCGACAATCCTTCTCTCTTTTGTCTCGTAAAAGAATCCTTCGAATCCATCGACATCCATGTACTCTGGAGACTCTGTTTGCCTCACAGAACTCGACTTTGGATTCGAGGTATTCATTTTGTGTGCAGTTAAAACGCCGGTGTATGGCTAAAATCTGCGACAAGATACCTGCATACAAACGCGAACTACAAAGCCTCCACAGATCGATACTATTAAATTTCACTTCACGCGATAACCAAAGAATGTCGTCAACTTGGTTGGAGGTCAACAACCTTCCAAAAACACAGTCTACGTGACAGAAATCGTAAATGATATAATAAATTTTGCAAACAAGTCTGTATCGCAAAAAACGACCTTGCTATACATATTACTAAAATTATTTTTAAAAAAAAAATAAGGAAAGCCTGGTCAACACTACCAAGTACCACAGTTTGTACACTGTAGCCTTTTTCCTTGCACTCCCTTTTTCCTTTGTGCGCATTCCCCAACAAGAAATAAAATATTTTACCACAATTGCTACTAATCTCGCAATCTGATTGGCTTATTTGCCGTTGTCTATAAGAGTCCAGACAACGCTGCTCGCGTCAATGTGTAACGCAATGCCTTTTTCAGCTCGCGCTCTGAAAAAAAAACATATTCTTTGACGTTGATATTGTGATAAAAAACAAATCGAAAACCACATTCGATTTGCTAAACTGCTCAAAAGTAGAGTTGAACGTTCCGAGTTCAGCTTCAATCTCGGGTAACAATTAGATGGAAATAAACATCTGTGTGGTTAATTTGCCGTTTGGGTCGGGAATTAACTTATTTTAACCAGTCGTTATCTACAGCTGTGAAAAATTTCTTGTGTAATTTATCACTGCTGTTCTTGTATGATTACTACTCTGCAATCGGGCCTACGCTTGATAAGTACACGGCTGCTAGTCATCAGTGAAGTCAAGACACTCGTGCAATATAATGCTTACCATTTTCGAATCATCCACATCTTCCTCTCGCCGTTTCTTGGCCATGGCTTCTGCAACTTCTATTTCATGTTTCTTTTTCTCAGCTTCCCGTTTCTTTCGTTCATGTTCCTCTTTTTCTTCCTGCTCAATTTTGGCCATGCGTTCCTGTGAAATAGTAGAACAAGGAGAGAAAACCCTTTGATCAAACATACCAGCAAAAATCGCCAGTTTCTGAGAAGATATACAAAATTAAAGTTTGACATAACTCTTTGAGGTAAATCAGAGCAGCTCAGTCATAATTGCTGGTGCTCAACTTAGAAAAACAATAAGAGTATTAGTACATACACTCCTCCTGGATGGTATGTCTATCAGCTTAGATTACCTTCAGCTATTCGCCGGCCGTTTTCAGTTATGCACCAAAGTGAGGTGCTAACACTCGAAGGCAATTCCAATATGCCTCACCATTTATCACCAATACCACCATTACTCGTCATAAGACTACTCCGCCCCCAAAGAGACCTACCGTACAGACGTGTTTGAGCCACGGACGTGAACTGGACGTTAATTTTCTTGCTTCTGATGCGTTTTAACCACCCCCGCCCCCTCTCGCCCCCTCTCTCCCCGGTAAATAGCTGGAAAACTATCATACATACATACATACATAAACTTTATTTAAGCTCGAATTTCAGAGTAGCTTGACCAGCTAATATTTCCGAGCAACAAAATATTTGACAACGAAAAATTAAAATAGAAATTGCTATTTACATATTTACAATTGACTTATGTTCTTATCATTTTCGTGTTCACAGGTTGTCCTTTTTAACGAAAGTGGTTAATACGCTCCAAAACTTCTATGCTTGAGCCCCCTAACAAAACAATAAAACTACACGACAATCAATGTGTGTAAGCTTGACCTAAAAGTTTCGATGTACAAATAGTTTAACAGACCTGATGGAGTCTCTGTGCTTCTTTTTTTGCGGCATCAGCCGCCATGGCTTTCTTCAAGCGTTCCTCCTCCAGCTTTCTTAACCCTTCTGCTTCTTCTCGTTTCTTTTTCTGTTTAATGGAAAAATGTATACACAATAACCTTACCGCTGCTTTATTACTAATAAACATGTATGCAA